TACTAAAATCAGCATTATCGTGCACAAATAAAGAAACTCCGTAATAACTGTTAACCAAATTACGGCAGGTATCTAGACGATTATTAAGTTACGAAGCTTTCGTCGTTCTTCTGAACTGCATCTTCACAGGAGAGTAATTACTTAGTTCACTGACATTTGGTAACCTAGACCACATAGAGGAAGAACATGTAAAAAGTCGCGAAATCCTAAAGTGGTCAATAAGCAGCCATCGGGAGAAATTTTTCAACCTCCAATGATCAATACGAGATAATAACAGCGAGAGGTATACTTTACTTGCGAGATGACTTTCTTTATAGTTTTTTATGTGAATGACACATTTCTAGTATGGGACATAGGGGCACTGTTAACTTATTTACTTTCGGTAGAACCTGTATGGGTGAGATGCTGCTCCCTGTGGGTTTTATCTTTTCGTAAGTTTTTGGTGATATATATATATATATATATATATATATATAGCGCCACCTACTGAACCAGTTTAATGAGATTCCTAGTTTAACTTATTTGACAGCAACTAGTACAAGCATTGAAAGACAAGTTGTTTTGACTTTGCTTCATCAAGCTTGACAGAAGACTAGCAAAGATGGTTGGAGTTTCTTACTGTCAATGGGAACCTAAATTTCTCCAAACTATCAAAAATTCCCATGTGATGTAATTATGACTGTAAAAGCTAGCAAAGAGATCTCTATTCATAACTTCTTGTCTAATCTGTACAGTTACTTAGGGGGCTTATATATGAAATATGAAATATATATGAAGTGTTAAATGACAAAGATTGTCAGAGGTTATTTGTCAGTTAGTAACAAAACAAGTCAAAGTGTAGGAGAAGTAACAATTTGCAGAAAATAGTGAATAATCTCACGTAACCGAAACTCCATGTATTATTAATATAAGGAAACTCTATGTAGCCTTTTCGTTATATATTTTTTGATACTTATCCGATTTTCACTCCTTTGTTCTCTTGTTTCTCATCAGTTATTTCCAAATGTTCAAGTGTTAATTTGCAGGGATTTCATTGATTACAGGATTCCATCATGAACTGACATCGGTTAGAGAACCATTGGAAAACTTGCATGGGGAGTACTGGACATCTGTCTCGTCCCACTAGTTTGAAACTCTCCAGCAGTATACACCTATATTGATACAAACCGAGAACCTTCTGGTTACAAGGCGAGCTAGCTAGTAGACTATTAAGTTACTTGAACTCGCCGGTCCAACTTCCAACTTCTACTAATTCACGAATGTGGCTTGACCGCTAGCGAATGTCAACCGTGTCACACCTGACCTAGAGTACTCTACAGGTCACGACTTACCACTAGAACCTCAGGTAACTTCCCACCTGAATACTTCCAAATGATTATTCATCACTTAACTAAATAGTTGACAACTCTCTTGATTACACACTCATTTCTCATACTCTTGGACCTATTTTGTTACTAAGTGACAATAACCTTTGACCTTTGTTGTGAATCAACATTGTATATATAAACACCTAAGTAACTGTATAGTTTTGAGGTGAAGACATGTTTTTCTTACCTATTTTAGACTAGTCATACATTCTTATTCTCGCTCAGTAATAAATGAATACCTAATTGGATAAACTACTGATATTCGTTTTGTATTTGTCAGTGATCAATCATGTTGAACCAGGATGTTCAGTCTCCATAGACATGTCAACTACTATTACGGATGCTTTAGTACTACCTGAGGATTATTAAGATGTTACTGGTTGGATGGTAATTAACATCAGAATTCAGGATGTGTATTTCATCCTGTATAGGACCCGTCATCTAGACATACCTGTAATTCCCAGTGAGTGATGGTGATCTCCACAGTGAGACTCGAACTCAGCACCCGTTCTTTCAAACACCAGTAGTATTATCAAACAGGTACTGGAGCCAAAAGGACCATCATTAGTTTAAATTAATTTTTTGTTAACCATTGACTGCTTATACTCGTATCCACATTATACTATAGAATCATTAGATCACAAACACTCGCCGATGACGATGGCTTGTGTCAGTTGCACTAAAATCACAAGTTGGTAGAAATTAGAATTCACGGACTATTGAATAGGGTCCCCAGTAACTGAATGGTCTTCGACCTTGCCTTGTAATCAGAAGGCCCTAGTTTCGACCCCTGGTGATAGGTAGGTACTGGTGATGATTCCAAAATAGCTATCCAGTACTCCCTGATTGTTTTCAATACTTCTCTATCTGATATCAGTCCATAGTCAAACTTTAGACAGATGCAAGATGTCTAGTCCTTTCTTTGGTGCAGGAAACCAAAGTCCAAGGCTTCCTATCAATTGCCTCCAACCATCTAATATCATCAAATAAGTGTGCACCGTGATGGCGAGCTACCTGGTGGCATGGTGAACACATTTCAAACCTGACTGATAGAATTCAGTCTGCACCAAACAAACAAAGGACAAGACAGACTACACTAGACTCTGACTGGCGTCCAATCAAAAGTATCCAATACAGTCCTACAGGAGGTCAATCGCCAGTGAACCCCAAGAGCTCAGTGGTAATGTCTCCGATTGAACGCAGATTCGAATCTCGGAAGAGACATGAGTTCCTTCAAGGTTTCAGATACACTCTGCTGACTGGTGAGTTCCAACTAGTATGAAACCTAGTTGGAAGGTTTCCTTTTAAAGAAAATAGGGAAAATTTCAAAAACGTTTGAAGTAGTTCGTTTTAATGCAGGAAAATTTGTAACATCTACGGTCTGGTTATTATTTATAGTTAGTTAGTCAGTTAAATATTCCCTCTTCTAAAAAGTGAAGCTATTATTGTTATTCCCTTGGGTTCCTAGTGGAACATAGGGCTTCAACTCCACGTTTGCATTTGCTCCTGTTTTCTGCTGCACTTTTCACCTGCATCCATGTTAGTCCATACTGTTCCAACTCCTCTTCCCACGATCTCCTCCATGTTACCCTTGTACTGACGTCCCACTCGCCGCTTCCCTTTCGACCTGGGTCCACTCGAGCGATGGCCTGACGAGCCCATGATGTCACCCAGCGGCCTCCTCAGAGAGTGAGTGCCTGATCCATCTCCACTTTCTCCTGCATATTTGTTGGTTGGCGATCGGTTCTTGTTTTGTTTGTTCCCATAGTTTCTTGTTGGTGATTCTTTCCGACCCGGCCATCTGATCTTCAGTACAGATCCAGCGAAGAAAGTTGTTGATGAAGGTCTGCAACTGGCTGTTGGAAATATTCTTTGTGACCTGCCCGCCAAGTTTCTGATCCGTATAGAAGAACTGACTGACTTGACATTTGTATTCAAAATCCGACTGAATTTTGTTGTTGATGCTGGCTGAGTGACGAAGATTTCCAGATTGGTTTCAGGTTGGTTGATTAATGTGTTTCTCGCCTTCCCGATTCTCGCTCGATTTGACATCCTCATCCATTCCTCCTGTAGTTGAGACAATGCTCCCTAGATAAGTGAATGAAGTAACCTCTTTCAAATCCCTCCGGTGATGGTGATTGGCGCTGGTTGTTGCTGCTGTTGTTGTTGTTGGCTGGTTATTTCCATAACCTTCGTCTTGTCTATGTTCACCTCGAGTCCTGTCTTCACTACCTGCTTCTTCGACCAGTTTGTCGGTTTTCGCTTGTGAGTCTTCGATTTTGCGTGACATCAAACATAATTCATCCGCACGCGAAATCCAGGTCTTCTAAATTCTTCACGTTGGTCCAGGATATCCGTGTCTTCTCGTTTCCCACTGTCTGACGTATAATCCAGTCAGTCCGCCACAATTAGGAATATCATTGGTGATAATAAGCACCCTTGTCTGACTCCTGTGTTTACTCCAAAAACACCTCACTGAGTTTTCCATTGTGGATCACTTAACATGTGCCACCGTTGTCGTACAGCTGTTGAATAATGTTGATGAATATTTTAGGATACGCCGTAGTACTCGAGTAGTTTCCAAATGACTTTGCAGTCAACGCTGCACTGTCGAAGGCCTTCTCAAAGACGTCAATAAAGTTGAGGTAGAGGTTTGATTGCCATTACATGCTTTGTTCGATGATGATGATGGTGCGTAGAGTTGCAATTTGGTCGGTACATGATTTGCCTTTCCTGAATCTAGCCAGCTTGTTCTGATCGCCTAGATTACTAGCTCGCTAGTTTTCAAGCCGGTCTCAAGCCCAGATAAAGAGGGAGGGTTGGGATGTGGTGCTAGCAACTCCACCCCACCTCCAAAACTTAACCGAATTGCTACAGAAAGTTCAACGCATAAATATCATAAAAATACTAAAAATATAAATTAAAACAATTAGTCCCTTTGATAAATTTGAACAAGGTATTAAGAAGACAAATTTCGCGAGATGATATCATTTCGTAGTTTCTTTACAACCGCTTTACAACTAACATGGTTAACAATGATAAAATAAAGTTCATGAAAATTACTCAGTTAAATAAAAACAAAATTACATACTAATGACCAATCATATTAAGATAGGTCATACAGTCCAGGGTAGGCGGTGACACCTATATAGGTAGAACTAACAGAATGTTCCAATGTCGTCGAAAAGAACATATTCCAAAATGGCTAGTAAATCATATCGAAAATCCTAACGCGATTAATCTTAATAGAAATCCAGCATCATCCATTGCAAAACACTTATTAATGTCTGGTCACAAAATAAATATTAATGACTGTTTCACAATTATTTCACATAACTCTAATTCAAGGTTATTGAAGGTGATGGAAGCACTTTGGATTAATCACATACAGCCTAAACTGTGTATACAAAAATCAATAGACTTCAATCTTCGCCTACCCTGGACTGCATGACCTATCTTAATATGATTGGTCATTAGTATGTACTTTTGTTTTTATTTAACTGAGTAATTTTCATGAACTTTATTTTATCATTGTTAACCATGTTAGTTGTAAAGCGGTTGTAAAGAAACTACGAAATGATATCATCTCGCGAAATTTGTCTTCTTAATGCCTTGTTTAAAAATATAAAGTCAAGCTATGTAATGCATTTTTTTAGTGTTATTATTATTATTATTATCACCATGATGACGATGAAATTCAACACGAAGGCAAGTAATTAGTAGAGAAAAAAATAGATGATATGACAAAAATAATTCTGCTGTTGGAAAACTGATAACCAGTGAAGAGAGAGAGCGAGAGGGGGGATGGGAAACAAACAAACAAACAAACAAACAAACAAACAAACAAACAGAATAACTGAAAAGTGGAAAATTAGACAGTTGAAAAGGCACACTCACTCACACACACACACGCACACACACGCAGACACACATATGAATAATTAGATGAACTGTCAACTAGTGTGTGAGATAGTAGTAGTAGTTCTGTTGTCAGGCTTATTGTTATGGTGCATATCATATCCGATATAGAGATCATAAAAAGAAGAAGCAGAATAAAAAAAGCGAAAAATGTGGAGTTAACCAGGAAAATATACGTGATCAAAACACAATAACAAGATGAATATGAGGTAAATAAAAAAGGATGAAATTATTCTGTAAGTTTTATATTGCTTATTTATTTATTTGTTTGTTGTTGGTTTTGTGTGTGTGTGTGTGTGTTAGAGGTTTGTTGAGAAACCGGGGAAGAAACTGTTTTGATGAATGTCATTTGACTTTGTTGATTTGTTTCTATTTTTTTTTGTTTTTTGTATTTTTGTGTAGATGGGTGGGTAAATGACAGATAGATAGATAGATAGGTAGATAGATAGACGATAAATGAGATAGGCATGCTTGGACCTTCCTTACCTAGCTAGCACCTCGATCTATCTATCTATGTATCTATCTCTCTATCCACATCAATCATTTCACTTATTAAACAATGATAAGCAAATTGAAATAAAAGCAACAGTTTTTGTTGAGTGAAATGTTTTTTCACCTTTAAATATTTTCTAATATTATCAGTGTTACCTTCATTGTTGATTGTTTATTGAATATGAATGATGATGAATGTCACGCATATTTTGCCTAAACCCCACCCCCCCACCCACAAGCTCCCCTCGTATAGCCCACTGATCATAATTGACACTGTGATGTATTGTTTTACAAAGGAAATACACATGATTAAATGTACTACATGTGGACAGATATATGTTGTATGTGCTAGTGTTTGTATTACTCTGTGTGTGTATGTGTGTATGGGTGTGTGTGTGTGTGTGTGTGCGGATGCGGATGCGTACTCATCAACTATATACAACAGGATAGTTGTTTATTTGTTTTGTTCTTTCTAACACCAGAATTGAAATCTTTCATTGAAGGGATTATTGTGACACCGGCAACTTGTTTATCTTCGATTAGTTTCATTTCTCTGTTGATAATTAATAATAAAAAGAGAAAGGTGAAAGTGATTAATGTGGTATTGTTTTTGATATATATATGTATGTCTCTACACACGACAATTACTCAGTAAAACATACTGACAATAAGTGTAGCAAAGATGCGTTACTAATGGTGGTCAGTTTCAATGTGGGTGTGTGTGAGTGTGTACAAATATAGCTGTTCTTATGTATTTAGTTATACAGGGCGTACTCATAGGAAATGAAGGGATAAACTTGACCTAAACAAACTGGTTACTACTCACGAGGTGTGCAACATAGACGATGGCACTGAAATAGAAACCAAGTCGGAAATTAAATATCTAGGCGTCACTCTATCTTCTGATCTTTCCTGGTCGTCTCATATCTTGATGATGATTTCTAAGAAAATATTCCGTCTTACCTTCTACATCAAGAAGTTAAGATATTCTGGAATAACCCAACCCTTGCTCCTATGATTCGTTAACTCTTGCATCCTGCCTAGTATTCTCTATTGTTCCCCCTTAGTTTTTCCTGGGCTGGATACTGAAGAAAGACTATACTTTATTACGCAGGATGTTAAAGATTGTCAGCAGGGTAAACAACGTGCCACTTAACCAACTTGTTAAAATTCTGGTTGACAGGCACATGGACTCATGTGAAAATATGGGCTAAATCCATTTTATCTAACTCACACCACCCTCTTCATTCACAACTCACCCCTTGTATCTCATCAGGTAAAACCAGAAGCCTATATAGGAAACTATATGCTCGCACTAGTAAGTACAAAAACTCATCCATACCTTACTTAGTTCGTGTTTTGTGCGGTAAAGAAAGCATTAGGCGTGATACCTATAACTTATTAAATAGTCAGTAGAACAACTGGATCTCATCTTTCCAATTCATATCATTTATAGTTACGACGTTTTCTCTCTCTTTTCTCTGTTATGTGCTGCTTTGTTTCTCTCTTCCTTACAAACTCTATTTAAAACATTCTTCTTCGTTCTTTCACACTCTGTATATCTCGACCTTTTTGTTACCGATTACGCCAGTAAATATGCCAGTATCTACTTTTCTAACACCTTCAAACATTCTGTTCAATTTTTGGTTTTGCTACCCACATGCCAATATATTGTTGTCAAAACTAACTGAGATTACGTTTAATCTATGTAGAATTTTAGTTATAGTTCATGTACTAACTGGATGCAATACTGTAGTAAAATGCTGAAAATTCTATTCTGTATCGCAAATACTGTTAGGGAATAAAGCAAATTATTATAACTATTATTATTTACCCACTGGTGAACATGTACCAGTTTGATTCATTGGATCGAAATGGTCGCTCCAAGTGGTCAGGTGAACCTGTTGGCTCCATGTGCAGATGCTTCGACCACATCTGATTATGAAACTTGAAGTAAATTAGTGGGTGGTGATTAGCGAATTGAATTAAATAATTACTGAAAGAATGTGCAAGAGGTACAAGAATGAGGCGCCTCTTATGGCCCGAGTGGTCTATTGGATAACACTTTGGCGTTTGAAAGTATGGGTACTGGGTTCAAGCCTCAGTGGGAACACAATCACTCAGTGACTCAGCTAAATAGCCAGGCCTAAATAGGGCGAAACGGACGTTGTCTTGGATTTCACAGCTAGTCACCATCCACCAATGTACCAGCTGGGCTTAGAACAGAAGCAACCAAATAAATAACTAGTGCCATCTACTTTCGTTTGGTGGTTAGTGAACACAGTATCAATATACATGAGTCATTTACGGTCGTATATCAAGTGCCCATGAAGTGGAGACGGGAGTAAGACAAGCTGGCTGGCTGCCTACTATCGCAAATGATTTTCCTGATTGCAGTAGATTGGATAATGCGATAGACAGAGGGCAGCGGGGAAACAGGCATAAAATGGACCCACACAAAAGACTCGGAGGTTCTGGACTTCGAAGATGAGGATATATTTGGCTGATTTACACAAACAGGAAGATATGCAAGTGAAAAGTAACAAGTTCACAGAAGAAGCGTCAAGGATAGGAAGATTTTCAGGTGAACATAGAGAAAGCAGAGGTGATGAAGATTCCTGGCCAACACCAAGAGCAACAACAACAACATCAACAGACAACAATCAGCCAGCATAAATGGGAGGAACCTGAAGGAAACAACCTCCTTTACCTACATAACCTACCTGGGAGGCATCGTTTCAACCACAGGCGGATGGGACTGACGAGGGTATCAAAGCCAGAATCGGAAAACCAAGACAAGCTTTCATTACTCTCAAATCTGTGTGGAGGTTAACAGCACTCAGCATCAAAAATAAGATCCGGATTTTCAACTCCAATATGAAGTCAGTACTACTTACTATACGGATCAGAGACCTGGCGAGTCATAAAGAGCACCTCGAACAAACTACAGACCTTCATCAACAGCTGTCTTCGTTCAATACTCAAGATCGGATGGCCGGCCAGAAAAGATCAGAAACAGGGATCTCTGGCATTGAGCTAACCAACACAGCAAGAACTGATTGTGAAACAAATAGGCAGGAAGAAATGGAGATGGATTGGTTGGCCATACCCTTAGGAAACACGCCATTCAGTGACATCACTAGACAAGCCATCACTCGAGTGGAACCCGAAAGGGAAGCGGCGAGTTGGTCGTCACTGTGACGGTGACAACGTCTAGGGGGTCATGTGAAGAGGAGATGAAAGCATGTGGGCAGACTTGGAGCGGGGTGAAAACATTGGCAGAGAACCGAACTCAATGGAGATGTGCGGCTGAAGCCCTATGTTCCTCGAAGAATTAAGGGAAATAATAATAACGTAATAATAATCAAGTACCAATCAATCTACTTAAAGGTAGACGATTAAGTCTCCTGGCTATAGCTGAAGTTATATGGGTCGCTAAGAATGAACGTAATCTATGAGGACAAAAAAGTTCATTCATCCTCTATATTTATCTTAACCCATTATATGGTTATTATGGAAATAATCAGCCCATATTTTCATATTTTATGATGTCCTTTATACTTCTTTTCACCTAATTTATTTCACACGTTAATATTTATCACCCATCCGATTTACACTTATCTAGTCCTACGTCCTCATTATTTGATTACTGTTCACTATATGATCACTGTATTGTATTATAGTCATTTTGCATCCCTTGGACTTATATTCATCGTTTGCTTATATTTCTTCTCACTTCACCGGCTGAATACAACTCACCTCCTTGAAACTTATAATTTTATAAATGATAGATATGTAAGCAGGTCAATTAGTTGATTAATCTCAGTCTATCCCGCACATTTCAAATGCATTTAAACGAGAATCAAAGCCAACGGACTATCATTTCATCTTGTAACTGTACCCTAAGGAGTTTCTGAACTGATTCTGATTTTCAAGTATTGGTTTTTGTAGGGATTTAGTTTGATTGGTTGGAGGATTTCAACATGACCTGTCATCAGTTTTGTTGACGTCAACGATTACTGATATTAAATAGTTGGGGGGAATCGGCTACATAAAACCTTTCTACCAGGTTTCGTGTTAGTTGGCACTCATCAGTCAGCAAGGCGTATCTGCAGCCTTGAAAGAATTTAGGTCTCTTCTCAGATTCGAACTCGAGTCAACCAGTGCAGCAGTCCTGGGTTCGAACCTAGGTGCGGGGGGGGGGCGTACTGATGAAGAGTCCAAAACTAGGACGTAGGAAACAGCTGTCTGGCAGTACTCCAGTACTGGTTTTCCAATGGGGTTCTCTAACTGATGTCAGCTCATGATGAAATCCTCCATCTAATTCTGGTTTGTCTTCACCGACTATTATATTCTAACATTCATGGATTTGTAACTGTGGAGCCTAATGGAGAATGAGTTATTGAAAACAGTTGTTTGCTGAGACTTCACTGACAGCGTGTACTCACATCGTGATGATAAGGTATCTAGCTTAGTGACCACAGTGTATACTTGACTGATAGAGTTCAAACATCATGGACACTAAGGGCTAAAGGCACGACTCATGAATGTATTTCCAAACATCTACGGCATAATGATATCCACACCCAGTGAGTGCAACAGTCAGAGACGTTAAGTATACAAGAAGATTTTTTCAATTTTCCATCATATTCTGTTCCAAACGGATTATATGGTTTAAATGTTGAAGACTTTGACATCTGTTGGTCAGCAGAAACAAGCAACTGTCGCTGGATAACTGTTATTCATATCATTGCAAGTAATATGTAACATTAGTCAGAAAATTTACTTCTACAAGTTCAGGGAAAATGAAAGTATAAAATTCCTGTTATTTCATGAAAAAAACCAACCAAACAAACAAGATAGTCATCATGTCTCCGTCTCAGTGATTATTGATCAATGCAATGCGGATGGATGATGTGAAAACGCGTACATATTCGGACATTACAGTGTAAGAATCCATTTCCCATGTGTGTGCGTGTATGCATTTCTTTCTACAACAGATTTATGCTGTTATTTTCTGAGCTTTTTATGCTTTACTTGTTTCCTTCAGATATACACTGTAACTTATTGATGAAATAATCAAGTTTGGCGCCTTTATTTCTTTCTTACTAAACACTACTGAAAGCACAAGACAGGATTCTTTTTTCTCTGTCTCCAAAGAAACAGATTCTATGAGGTTATTTTTAAAATTTCAGAGTTTGTTTTTCAAAAATTCCACTTACTTCGCTAAGACAGCACGAAAATATTTCATTTATGCACTAGCCACGCACTCACTGTTCAACAACATCACTTTTTGTGATGTTGTTAAGATAACACGCGAATTAGGTGAAAAACTTCTATTAAACACCATTTCTTTTTTAAACCCTGATTCAGTAGTTTCTTAGTAGTGTGTTATAATTTCAACAGATTTATCTATTCTATTCTATTCAAACCACGCCGATTAGCAGCTTTAAGTATTCAAAGAAGGCATTAGAATACTAGTAGTCATCTGATAATGAAGCGCTTTTCAGCTTGCGCCTAGTGTTTGTTTGGTGTTTATCTCAAAGTAGTACATTTGAATCGCATTTTAGATAGTGTCGAAATCAGAAATTTCATCATTAAGATATGCCGATCACTAATTTCTAGGAAGCTTAACTGGCTATCAGTCAGTGGAAAATGTATTTACAGGAATCAGTATTTATACGTACTATTGTAACAACAGAAGACATGGGCCAGGCAACAGATCGTTTATTAAGGAAATCAACACATATTCATGGATTTCCATGTACATTATTATAGATTATTGTTAGCAGAAAAACACAGTCCTCTGGTTGGTTGTTTCTCACGGAAAGTTAATCTTGCATCTCCTTGGGGCTGTTTCTTGAATGTCAGATCATCTATATGTTAACGGTATCCGCCTACGGAAAGCCTTTGTTCTCATTTTTCTCACCACCAATATTGTGGACATAAATATTAACGTCAATTACTGTCCACCAACTTTGGCTAACAGCCAGCTCTCACCACACTATCATCAAAAAACATTGTGGGAAGCGCTTTCTAAATAAATTGTTCACCACAGTAGTAAGTCGATTGCCTTACATTTAATACACTTTAGACGTGAATTAACTGGACGATGAGAAATAGTAGCGTCTGTTTATTCAACAGCCTATTAGTTGAAGAACTTTGTATTTATGCGTCATTTATGAAGAAAATACAAATTCACAACTACCATTATGAAGCATTTTGTATAGACAGACTGTTTTCCATCCAGTACATTTCTACGTAATGATAACAGTAAGTAATGTCTTCTGATGGTACTCCATTAGTCACTGAACTAATGAGCTACAGGAGAGAGTCTGAGACAAAATAATTCAGTAAATTCTCAAGTATTGATTTTGTAGGGAATTTTGTTAGATTGGTTAGAGGATTTCACCATGAGCTGATATGAGTTAAAGAACCATTGGAAAACCTGAAGGAGGAGTACTGGACAACTTTTTTTCTATATCCTAGTTTAGGACTCTTCAATGGTACTCACCCACCACCACGGCTCATACCCAGGACCATCCGGTTACAAGGCCAGCAGGCTTGTAGACCCGATCCAATGGCCAATTTGAACCTCGGTCGGTATGTACTGATGAAGAACCCCAAAGTAGGCAGACGAAACATATCCCCAGTACTCCGAGGCTTTCCAATGGTTCTCTAACTGATGTCAGCTCATGATGAAATCCTCCGAACAATTAAGTAAATTTTTAATACTAATGGCGGTTATCGGTTAACAGGGAGAAACAAACACTTGTGATGAAGTGGTCATCAATTTATCATTCAGTTAAAAAAAGCAGTTGATATGTGAGTGCGAAATTTTACAGATAAGCAACTGTTCCTACATGTATGAGATCGATTAAGTAATTCCTCACAAATTACCGATGGATATGTGTAGTGCTCAAAAATCTTCACATAAACAAAAGCTGGATTAAATTACCCCTCTCTTGTCTTCAGAATCTGTTAATTTAGGCCTGATTTCTACTGATATATGTTTCTACAAAATTTCATTTATCGGTTAGTAAAACTGCATGTTTTTCTTCGATTGCAAACTGCATTTCCAATAAAATCTATATGCTAACAGATTTGTATGAATAAAGTAACCTTGATTACAATTTTAGATTTTCCCGTCGACTGATTGGACCGAAATGCTCAGTCTCAGGTTGACTTGTTGGCTCCTTGTGCAGATTACTTCGACGATGTGTGGTTATGTGACTTGAAGTCAGTTTGGCAGATGGTAACTAGCAGTGGAATCCAAGACAATGTGTATTTCGTCCTCTTTGGGACTCGTCGGTTGAATGTACCTACATTCTGTAATTCAAGTGAAAAATTAATAAGACCCATCGCACAAGAAGTGACTTTCATCACCTAAGTGGTCTAGTGGATTACACCTTGGCGTTTGGAACCATGGGTGCTGGATTCGAGCCTCAGTGGGAACACCATCACTCACTGACTGGGGAATGCAGGAACATCTGGCTAGCTGACGAGTCTCAAACAGAACGAAACGCGCATCTTGGATTCGTCCACCATCAAAATGTCCTTTGGATTAAGTTTCAAAATTATTACTGATTTATCATATTTTCTACAACGGAATTTATTTGTAATAAACAGGTGCGTTTATGAGAACTGGTCAAAAAAAAATTGTATTTAAGTTTCAGGAAACTTCTTTCACAACTGTCGCCAATATAACTAGTTGTTCTGTCTCTGAATATGATGTTTTCACGGACTAATTAACATGCAGTTTATAGTTCTAGTCTAGTATATATATATATATATGTTCTAATGGATTTGAAACTATCATAAAGAACGCTGACAAAAAAAATAAAATACAAATAACACTTTGATTCTTTTTGTAATTACTGTAACATGCATAAGCGTGTTTTTTTATGAAACTCTTATGTTTGTTTCAATTTATTTCCTTGTTAACGTCTCACGTTAACAGAATGTATGCTTTGCATTTTAACACTTCTTAATCTACTACCTGTAAATTCTGAAAGAATTTAATCTACGTACTCTTTACTATTTCAGTAGTATACAATATTTTAGAAAACTTTTCCCTAATTGGTTGGCACTTATTGATCTATGTGTGATACAGAGAGAGAGAGAGAGAGAGAGAGAGAATGGCGTCTCCTAAGTTTCAATCCCTACAAGAATTGAAAGAATTGTGTTATCCATTCAGTGAAAAATGATTTAGTTTTTCAAATGCAGATGATTCACACAGATAGTGTTTCATTCCTCCGAAGAATGTTAGAAGACCCAAGTTTGTGTAATGATAAGCCTGTTTCTAGCATTCAGAATTACTGTATTATGTTGTATAACTTCACGTGTATTTTCAGCATACCAATTTATTAGTACTTGCAAGGTGATAAAGTGAATTATCTTGATGGCGAGAGTCTTTAGAGAATAGTTGATAATGCATTAGTACTCTTATGATCACTTTGAAGACGCGAGAACATTAATGTACTCCATTATAGATAAGATTTTATTTTGATAAATTACACAGTATTGTATAGTAATATTAACTGGTCAGTCAATATTAACAGTTTAAGCCGTTTCTAGTGGACTTAACTATAGCACAGAAATAGATTCAGTTTTTGGTAGAGAAAGAAAGACCAGATTTGCAGTATAAAATGATATCATCATCATTCTATTTCACAGGTTACCCTCATCAGCTGCTGCAAACCACTACTTGAAATTATAGTGGTTATAAATAACAACATTTCATACTTCATTGTTTGAAAGGTAATAGAGAAAACATTATAAGATGAACGCGTCCGGAATATAAGTATTACAATTATTTTTAGTTTATGCTACCATCAATTTATATGCTATTAAACTATTAAAAAAAGGGTGGGGTGAGAGAAGACAGAAAAAATCTAATAAACAGTGTTAGCTTGTACGTCAATATGGCAACTCAAGAAGATTAAAGTTCATCTAATTGAAAACTAGCTTAATGAGCTGAGGTCACTAGAATGTATGACTAATCAGTGCAATGAAAGTAATACGGTTACCAATGGAATGAGAGATTGACTACACTCTCTTTCTGTATGCATAAGTTTGGTCTGTGACGTTTGACTGTAATTGCTTCAGCAGTAAAGCGTAGTAGATTCGCTGTCCTTTCTATGTTTTATATTTTGAAGGATTTGGAAATCTCGACAAAATGACTCGTATCCACAAGGTGTCTGGTAATCGCACTTTGTAAATATCTTTTCTCTTCGAATTCCCAAACACTGCCCTCTGTGGTTAAGCAAAGGACAAACAAATTCTATTCGTAGCGCTATTCTACCTCAACTTGTGGATACAGCACACAAGGTTGATGTTAACCATGCTTTCAGGGTCATTTATCGCATACCTACGAATCTCAATTTCGTCTTAAGAGTTCGACTACTAAATATTGCTCAAGCTGTTGGGATCCATATTAACAAGCCTAATTTGTGCATCTGAAAGAAGTTAGTTCAGACATTATCACTACCTTGGCCATCTAGGTTTGAATGATCCTGAATTTTGTGGAATTTTCCTAATTTTAGTTGATATTCTATTTGCTATTATATCTTTATCATTATTATAATTGAAGCATCTTTAATGAACTGTAATTCCATTGATCTTACTTTATAAATCGATATTATTTAAAAAACACTAATATTGTTATTGACTACTAATCTAGAATATTCTGTTTATATAAACATATATATAATTGTATAGCCAGAAGAGGAATTTATCGAAAAGGATATTCTTTGCTTAATTATTTTGTGTTTTATAGATGTCTGAATGAATATTTTTTTTAATAGTTTAATAGCATATAAATTGATGGTAGCATAAACTAAAAATAATTGTAATACTTATATTCCGGACGCGTTCATCTTATAATGTTTTCTCTATTACCTTTCAAACAATGAAGTATGAAATGTTGTTATATATAACCACTTTAATTTCAGGTAGTGGTTTGCAGCAGCTGATGAGGGGAACCTGTGAAATAGAATGATGATGATATCATTTTATCCTGTAATCTGGTCTTTCTTTCTCCATCGAAATTTATCAAGGGAACCAAATGCACGAGATTGAGTTTTACTTTATGAACAATTATTTGTTTTAATCACCATATAGTTAAGAAGTGAAGTCAAAGAATGCATAGGTTTCGATACGTATATAAAAGACAAATTTTGAATATCATAGAAACATTATTTTAGTAAAAATTAAGAGTTTGACTTACTGTGTCAATAATTCAATAGCCTCAGTGACGTTGTGTTTGCTTAGCACACTAGTCTCAATAAATAAAACTTGATGTAGCTAAATGAAATGAAATGAAAATAAAATAAAACAAACAGTGCAGACGATTCATTGATTGAAAGTACAAAATGTGTAGAATAATCAATTCTATTTTATAGATTTCCAATGGCTATTTTAATTTTAACAAATTAAGTAATACCTGAAACTGCAAATTCTAGTCACTAAACTAGGTATAGTGATGATTAGAAGTTAATTGGTAGATGGTGACTAGCAGTGGAATCCAGGATAAAACGCATTTCGTCCTATTTGGGACCCATCAACTGGATGTCCCTGCATTCCGCCATTCCGGATTCCACTGCTAGTCACCATCCACCAATTAACTTCTAATTACATGCCCAGACATCGTCGAAGCATCTTCACAAGAAGCCGACATGTCAACCTGAGACCGAGCACTTCAGTGCAATTAATCGACGGGAAAATCTAAAATTCAATTAAATAGTGATGATTAGTCATGTAATGTGTTTGGTGTTTTGATTTACGTTCAAAACTGACTACGTGAATACTAATGCGTCCATCTCGTCTATTCATTATACCTTATGTCAATTGTAGGTGTTAGAAAATGAAAATGAAATTTACAGAGGAATACACTATTATTATTATTGTAATTTCATTGTTATCATCCTCTTAGGTTCCGAGAAGAACATAGGGCTCCAACAGCTCATCACCATTTCTTCCTGTTCTCTACAGTCCAGTTTAAACGGCTCCATAGTTGCCAATAAGCTCTCATTCCATTTTCACACGGTCTCCTTCATGTCACCCTCAGACATACACCCAGTTCTTCTTTTCGCATTCAGACTCCACTCAAGCAGTGATCTGGCACTATGTCAGTCAACGGTATCCTCAGAGCGTGTTGGGCAATAGGTATTTGCCTGCCTTGTGTCCTGAATTCCTTGTCTTTTATACTTTCTAAGCACCTGATCTTCAGTATAAAGCCAGAGAAGGCAAATGTTAGAAGTGTTTCTGACGATGCACGCGCCAAGCTCCTGAGCCATACAGAAGCACTGAATTGATGTTAATGTTATAAACCCAAATTTTGTACTTTACGCTTAATTCATCAGATTTCCAAACTGATTTCGGATTAATGAAGACCTGATCGAACGTTTCGACCTTGTCTTTAGTATCTTCATGTGTACCACCTGTAGTTGAAACAATATTGTGAAAGAGACGTCTCCCTTCAAATTTCTCTCGTTGGCGATGATTGGTGTTTGCTGTTGTTGGTTGGTTGTCTTCATCACTTCTGTTTTCTCTAGTTTTTAATCTTATTTTATTCCTTTACGTCCCCAGTGGAACATAGGAATTCAAGCTAGAGGCTTGCAGTTTTAGTAGCAGTGGCACTATTTTTATTTTTAGTGGGTGGGATTGCTAGCCTCATGCCCAACATTCCTTCTTTACCAGCCTTATTACTAGCTTAGCTAGGTAGAGGAGTGAATCGGCCAGGGATCGTACCCCGGGCAACATGAGGCGTGGCCGGCAAGCAGTCTACCGCTGTGCCACCGACGCACCCTGTTTTCTCTATGTTTACGTGAGAGCTTGTCTTCTACTACTGATTGGTAAGAATATTTTGAAACCATTCGTAATCAGTGTTGCTTATTAGTTGGATAAGATTATTTAACGGCAAAGACCGCCATTTCACTCACTTTTGGTCAAAGTTTATCAGTTCACTGTAAAAATTGATTGGTATTAGTCCTTTCTAACTGGTTACAGGATTTCATCATGTGCTGACACATTGGTTAGAGAACCATCGGACAACCTGGGAGTACTGGACAGCGGTTTCGTCCCGCTATTTTGGGACTATTCATCAGTCTCTAAGCAATGTCAGCTCATGATAAAATCCTGCAATCAATCAATCAAATCCCTACAAACCAATACTTGAATATCAATAAGGTGCTTACTGGCAGCTGGCCCTATTAACGCAGTTAATCTGGGGTTCTAGTGAGAATTCGTGACCAGTAGGGTGCAGCCGGTCGGGTGTGAGGACAAATACTCACCTAAGACATTGGCTAGCGGTCGCGCTATGTCGTGAATTGGCAGAAGTTAGAATTCATGGACCATTGGATCAGATACCACTGGTTTAATGGCCTACGAGCTCGCTAGCCTTATAACCAGAAGGTCCTGAGTTCTAACCCTGGGGTGTGTGTACTGATGAAGGGTCCTAAATTAGGACGAAACAGCTGTCAAGTACTCCCTGCAACCGATGTCAGATCATGATGAAATTCTGTAACCAGTATTTGAATATCCTTTCTAACTACTTTTATAATTCAATAGCATATGCCAAAATATTATTCGGGTTGATTTATTTAATATCACTTATCGTATGATAAACTGCGAAAACTGATTTTCAGAAAAAAAATCACACACTATGAATCATGCAAGTAGTTGCTTTGATTTATTAATGCAAAAATGCTTAAGAGTATATTAGTTTGTAGATAGCTTTTATATGCCTTCTATGCCTATTAGCTAATATATTATATAGCCGACTTATAAAAAAATGATGCTCAATTTCAATCAGAATGCTCATATCATAAGGTATGTGTGAACACACATACACACACAGAGGCAGGGAATTCGAGAAATGGAATGTATTAACTTCAATAAGTTGATAAACTGATATATTTTACTTGTTACTGAATTGATAATTACTGCATATTCAAAGGATAGAGCCGCACTTCTTTCAGTGTTTTTAGGTTGACAATGTAACTTCTGTCATTTTTAGTTTGTAACAAAAATTTGTGATACATGCATGCCATGTATATCGATTAAGTTATTTAACTTTCTTGCTCTGTGCTTCAGTGTTTCAGCGACACAATGGTTGTCAACCAGGCACGTAGTTTGGGGATCGATTTCCAGTAGGTGGATTTCAAAACCTCGTCTAACCTTTAGTAAGTCAGGCAAAGAGGGAAAGTTGGGTGTAAGGCTGGCAAGATCATTTCGTGTAAACGAATAATGACCTTGCCACTCAAGCTTAAAGTCCCGTGTTCCACTCGGGACGAAGACGGATAAAATAAGTAGTATATAATAAAACTTCCCTATTTAATCGGACAATAGTAACTAGTATGATGTATCTCGTCTCTTCTTTGGTGCAGACGGAATTCTATCAGTCAGGTTTGCAATGTGGTCACCATGCCACTAGGTGGCTCGCCATCACGGTGCACATTAATATGATGATATTAGATGGTTGGAGGCGATCGGCAGGAAGCTTTGGACCTAGCTGAGGAGTAACGTCTCTAGATGACGCTAGTTCGAATCTCAGAAGTGATATGAGTTCCTTGAAGGTTACAGATAAATGCCTTGCTGACTGGTGTGTGCCAACTAGCATGAAATCTAGGTCCAGGGTTTCCTACTGATCGTCTCCAACCATCTAATACTCTCCTTTTCACTTTATAATTGTAACACATCAATCGATCTCCAGACACTTATGTAGTCTCTTTCATTTAATGTTACAGTAGAGTGATATATGACAAAAGGGATATATATATATATATATATTCACTTACACTGGCTAGGTGTTTGCCGGTTTCGTATGAGATATAATTACGAGGTTTATTATTATTTTCTTGCTGAACATCATCTTTACTTTTCGTATTGCGTAAGTCAATTTTATTTCCAACAAGAAGAATTGGGACTTGAACATCACTCACACATTCCTTTAAATAAATAAGTAAATAAATGCAATCAGTAATGTTATAATTAAATCGGTAAATAATATTAAAAATGTTTATGACAGATAACAATTTACACTTAAAGGTATTTTCATAGGTTAGTCTTCTCAAAAAGAAGGACAAGTTGTACAGTAGGAGGTGAGCATAAAAACCTGAAGGTACACCTGAGAGAATAGCAACATTTTAGCAGTCCTTCACATTAATCACTTACCGTTGAAGATTTTGAACCAAGTGAAAGGGGCTGCATACATGACACTCAAATGTACATCTGTGGTACAGCCGTTAGGACGCTCGCCGACCACGCATATGGTCCAGGGTTCGATCCCCTGCCAACGGACACCTGATATCAATGGTCGACCGGCAAAATTTGGGCTACCGATATGACATGCTGAAAATTCCATAATTGCACCAAAAATACCCTGTGGAATCAAGCTATAATCAAAATAAGAAATGATAAATAAGTCGTTAACAGTCTCAATTATAATGGCTTAACACATCTACTCTGAATACCTCTCAGTCATGAAGCCCCACGGGACTCAAAACCAACAACAATAGGATTAGTGTTTTATGTCAGTAACTTGTAGAGGAGAATAATTTACTGTAAGGAATTTTCTATGCATACGACAAATAGTTTTATGAGTGGACTTGGGGAATCTATTCTTGTTTAAATAATGAAATATTTTTATAGAAGAATGAGCCTTAACCAAGAGAAAGAATTAGACTAATGTGTTTTTATGATATTTAAAAGCGTAGTTTATGCTAAATACTCATCGTCAGCCTCAAGTCTCTGAACCCTTCCCAGAGCTTAGGTCCAGATTATATACCTAGTATTATTTTTTTAAAATATTATGATACTCTGTGTCACCCTCTCACTGATCTGTTTGACAAATCTTTTACTAGTAATATTGTGCCTGTCGTTTAGAAGGACATTAAAGTTGTACCTATACCTAACTCATCTATCGGAGCATGTGTCAAATTTAGACCCATTGCTATTACCTCTCCTTTTATGAAAACTATGGAGAAATTACTTTTACTTAGTCTTGTATCTTCACTTAAATCCTTTAATGACCCTAAACAATTTGCCTATAAGCACAATAGAAGCACTTTAGATGCACCTGCCGTCTTATATCATAACATTGTTTTCAGTTTAGACAAGGGGGCTAAATTTGTTCATTGTGCCTTCCTAGACTGTACATCTGCTTTTGACTCCGTCCCTAGGGACATTTTATTGAATAAACTTGCTACAAGTCAAACAAAATGTTGAGCTGTTAACTGGTTACATTCCTATTCCTCAGAAAGAAAGCAGTACACCGCGTATAAAGGGAAGTCTTCCACTTCATTGCCTACTGAAGCTAGTGTCCCTCAAGGCTCTGTCCTTTCTCCTACTCTTTTTTCTTTCTTCTTGTATGACTTGCCTCACTCTGATGAAATAAACTTTGTGAAGTACGCTGATAGCTTAACAGTTTCAATGGCTGTTAACTCCCAGCTAGATTGTACTAAAATGAATAGCTTTCTATCGGGAGTCAGTAAATGGTCTGAGTCTAATGGCCTTACATTAAATCCTTGCAAATGTCAAACTGTTAATTCCAGCTTAAGATGTAAAAGACAGTTAAAAGAAGCCGTCGATTCTCATGACAGTTGTACGATTGACGACACTGATATAGAAAGTAGATCAGAAATTAAGTATCTTAGACTTATTCTCTCTTCTGATCTCTCCTGGTCTTCCCATGTCTTAGCAATCTCCAGTAAAATATTCTGCCTGACATTTTACATTAAGAAGTTAAGGCACTCGGGTATAACTCAACCCCTCCTCTTACAGTTCATAAACTCTTGCATCCTACCTATTCTTCTTTATTGTTCACCCTTGCTTATTCTTTCCTAGTTTACTTAAAAAAGACTATGTCACAGTTCGTAGAATGCTGAAGACTGCCAGTAGGGTGAGTGGTGTCCCAGTGGACCACATAGTTAACGTCGTTGTCGATAGGCACTTGACTTCGTGCAATAAATTTTCTAAAGGGATTTTGTCTGACTTGGAGCATCCAGTTTACCCACAGCTTTCACCTTGCATCTCCTCAGGTAGAACAAGGAGTAACTTCATAAAACTGTATGCTCGCACGTCTAAGTATAAAAATTCTATGATACCACACTTGGTACGTATTTGATGTGATGAAAATAGTGTCAGGCAAGAACTAAGTAGCCTTTTTTTCATCTAGTAAATAAACGATTTCCTCCATCCATCCTTACATACCTTCAAGTTTTACTTTTATTATTTCTATTATATTTATGGTCCTGTTGCTTCTTTATTTTACTTTCATAATTGCGAACACCTACTTATCTCTATGACTGCTGTAATCTTTGTTTTTCCCCTCACCATATCATGCAAAGAGAACATTATATTCAATATTTTTAAACATGCTAGAATTTCTATACCGCACTGAAAATACTGTGTGTAACAAGCCCATGGCAATTTTCACTTGTATTATTATTATTATTACTACCTTAGCTGTTATCATTATTATTATTATTTCCATTTTATATGCTGCATGTTTTTGACATTACCCTTACTGTAAATGTGGAAAATTTTCTGTGTGATTAATTTTATTTATAATTTGAGGAAATAAGGTGCAATATTGTGATTAATGCTGAAAATTCCATTCTGTATCACAAGTACTGTTTTTGGAATAAAGTAAATTATTAATATTACTATTATTATTAAATGAAGCTCGAAGATAAAGACTGAATTGGTTTTGCAAGTTTAAAATTTACTATAATAGTAATATCTACTTACTCTGATGGTTTCCATCCAGTATTTAACATTTGCAAATGTTTCAGGTTGATCTACAGCGTACATTAAAATTACACCATCAATTTTTCGGAAATATGAACGGATGATACAACGATATCTACGAATGAATAGAAGATTGAACACTATCAGAATTTACGAAATCATTCATGTATATATATATCTATAGCAATGCTCAACTGTAGTGTAAAGGTGCGGATGCATCAATGGGCGTGAAAGGAGCAACAGTGCTAAAAACAGAAATTAGGACTTCTAACTCAACCTTAACAGATGTGATGAAGATACATAACAAATCACAGGAAGCAGCAATCACCTTCAGTGGGAGAGATCTAAAGGAAGTTACTTCTTGCACTCATCTAGGCAGCATTGTATCGACCAAAGAAGACGTGGATAAAGGTGTGGAAAGTAGGATTGGAAGAGCAAGACTCACCTTCATTGATGTGAGATCAATGTGGAGACTTGCTGCGCTCATTACATGAAACACGATTCGGATTTCAAACACTAACATCAAGTCACTGCTTCTGTATAACTCTGATACTTCACGTGCGCTTCGCCAAAGGCATTTTGAACAATTTTCTGCAAACTGTCATCAACAGTTACCTTCGCTGTCTCGAAACTGAATGTTGGATGGCCAAAAAGGATTAGCACCAAAGAGTCGTGGAAATGGAAGAATCGAGAGCCTGTCACCCAACAAAAATGCAGAAGCAAACCGAGATGGATTGGATGTACGCTGACATTATGCTCCAGACCCTCAAGTGGAACTTACTTGGAAAACTACGAGATGGAGGTTCGATGGAGAAATGAAACAGGTCGCGTCAGGAGGACATGAAAGCTTAAAGTCAATTATGGGGCCAGATAAAATGACTGTAGAGAACCGAGGGAAATGGTGATATGCTGAGCTGCTGAAGCCCTATGCTGCACTCGGTCTCCAAAGGAATAATAATAGTAACAATAGATAAACCTCGCCTAATCGATATTAAGCGTGGAAGAGAGGAAGGTTCAGATTTAAGGCTAGCAACCAACCCCGTAAAAACATAAAACTACCTATACCAAAACTTCAAAAGATGGACCTAGAAATTCTGTGCCCTAACTTTAATCCTTGCCCAACTTAACCCTAATCTATCTCTAACCAACCCTAATATCTCCCTGGCTAGATTAACCTAACCCTAACCAATCCTGTGCGTCGGTGGCATAGCGGCTAGGACGCTCGCCGACCATGCACATGGTCAGGGGTTCGATCCCCGGCCACCGACGCACTCCTTTACCTCGCTAAGCCAGAAATAATACTGGTAAAGAGGAAAGGTTGGGCATGAGGCTAGCATCCCCATCCTGTAAAAATAAACACTGCTAGGGAAACCTTCAAGCCACTAGCTTGAAGCCCTATGTTCCACTGGGAACGTGAAGGAAAAATTCTATTATAACCAATCCTTAGTCTGAACCTAGACCTAACCCTTCTCCAAACTTACCTAGGGCTAACTGGTTATCCTGTTCAATATCACTACACTACATTCGACACTTTTTTCATAAGTATAGTCTTATTTACCTGGTTTAATTGCCCTATTCTGATTGACGGTTCAAAGGTCATTGGCGCGTCCATGCCCGTTGGGTGTGTAAGGTTAACTTATAAATATATATATATATATATTTGATCTAAGCACAGCTAAGCTGGTTTCAGAGTTTAAATTTGTCTTTGTAAAGACTTCACGGCCAGCCTAATTTAGAAAAGTTGTGAATAACCCAACCCCAGTCCAATCCAAGAATTCATGAAAGAACAAAACAAGTAGTTCAGCAATGAGGCAGTTTTCATGCGATTTCATTTTCGTTAGCCGTACAATCACAGTTATTTACTATTTTAATAGAACAGGGTAGCAACGATAGAGATGAACTGTACAGTTGCCAGATTTACATTCATATCCGTTAGCTAGTAAATAATTTTATTAATAAATGAGAGGTAATGTTGGATAGAAACACAGTGTAAGAAATTGCAGACTCTTTCGTAGATTTATCCCAATATATGTACAACAAACGGATTTCAGGTGTGAAATCTGATCACTAAGTGACTTCAGTTAAAGAATCCCTGTCAATCAGGAGTACTGGACAACTTTAATTGAATTTTAGATTTTCCCGTCGGTTGATTGAACCGAAGTGCTCGGTATCAGGTTGACATGTCGTCTTCTTGTGCAGATGCTTCGACGATGCCTGGGTATGTAATTGGAAGTTAATTGGTGGATGATGACCAGCAGAGGAATCCAGGTTAACGCTTATTTTGTCCTGTTTGGGGCTCGTCAGCTGGATGTACCTGCACTCCGCAGTGAGTGATGATGTTCCCACTATGGGCACTGGGTCCGAGCCTCAGTGAGAACATCATCACTCACTGCGGAGTGCAGGTACATCCAGATGACGAGCCCCAAACAGGACGAAATGCGCGTTAACCTGGATTCCTCTGCTAGTCACCATCCACCAATTAAGTACTGGACAACTGTTTGATTCTAGTTTTGGACTGTTCGATCCATAATAGGATCATGGGTGTATATCGCTAAATAGCCCCAGTACTCCCCATTTTCAGTAGTTCTCTAACTGAATTCAGTTTTTAATCAGACTTGAAATCGATTAAATCCCTTCAAACCAACATTTGAAAGACACCAGTCTGACGTCATGTTAAATCTTCTAGTTTCATACATATGGAAAGTAACAAGCAATATGCAGGTTCAAGACATTCTGTTATTCAGGTGTTTCCAATACTTTACTCTGAGAATATAGTAAAATAAAACTCGTCAACACAAGGTTAGGAATATTTTTTGGTCATATGAACGACTCCAGTGATATCGCATTTTGTGGGCTGAAATCAGTGCTGACGAAACAGTGAATACTTTGCAACTACACCATTCAGTCCAAAATACTCACTATCATCTACAGGAAGAGTGAATAGCACTTAGTTATGTTTTATTAGTGAAATAGCTTAGATTCAGCGTGTTGTACTCATGCCTTTCTTGTTCCTGATATCAACAACTTACGTTTCTTGTCCTGCAGTATCCCACAATTGAATAGTATAAACTGAATTATTCATTCGAATGTTTTTTGTACGGAAATCAACTCCTATAAAAATATGAAATATAAAAAAGTGACAGTGAAACTTTGATGGCTATTGATCAAATAAATTGAATGAATTTGCAAAAAGATAGTGTCTCTTTACGGAATCACTTTCCTCTATTTTATAGATTTCGTTTATTTATTTCTATTCCTCAATATCCTGAATAGAAGATAAAGTTTCAAGCGTTGTCCTTATAAGTTGGGGTCCCTAGCCTTACGCCCAGATTTTTCCGAGTTTACTACTGATCAGCTAAGTGGATGAAATTTTAAGAGTGTGTCAGCAGGGGATAGAACCTCGACCTCCTGTTTAGTCGACCAAAATTCAGTCATTAAACCAACGACATACACATAGAAGAAGATATTTCAGCACTATTTAAGATATTTACTTATTGTGAAGTCATCTGTATCCAACCTAATCACAACTCAAGTAAGTCTGTATTTTCGAGATCTTTTTTCTTTTAACTTTAAAAGTGAATTACATGTAGGTCGGGAGTAATGATTATTAGTACTATGGTTATTCAACAAGGGCAGTCACTACACTTTCAAACAAGAAAACAAAAGGTGTACTTTCTCAACTAGAAAAATTACAGGAAGTATAAGTTCTTCAGGCTGCTTAAAACTTGGTCTACCGAAAACCCCTCCATCAATATTTTTTTCCCTTCACGTTCCCAGTGGAACATAGGGCTTCAAGCTAGTGGCTTGAAGGTTTCCCTAGCAGTGTTTATTTTTACAGGATGGGGATGCTAGCCTCATGCCCAACTTTTCCTCTTTATCAGCATTATATCTGGCTAAGCTAGGTAAAGGAGTGCGTCGGTGGCTGGGGATCGAACCCCTGACCATGTGCATGGTCGGCGAGCATCCTAACCGCTATGCCACCAACGCACTAGACAGAATAGTAACTGGTATCAATTAGCAGTTTGCTTATAACACAGGCTATAATAATAATATCAAAGGAACATACCCAGAGTAGCTCTTAAATGTGGATAGAATACACCATCACAGAATCGATAAGAGAAACTGGATTTACCAACACCTGAATCGCCTACCATTATCACTTTGAAGATACGTGTTGGTGTAAGTGATAGAGACAATTGTTTCTGTTGTTCGTCTACTTCATTGCCATCTTCTACATTTTCAATGTTATTACTCTCTGGAGTAGGGAATTCATTCTTGTCATAATTAAAAGCACTGATACTACTGACATTTTCACTTGAATAATCTGATCGTCGACATGTTGAATCATGCCGTGGATGATTTTGTTGTTGGTGTTGATGTTGGTGTTGTTGATGCTGTTGCTGTTGTTGGGCTGGTAGGACATCTTCTAAACTGTCGAATTCGTACTGCTAAAATAGAAGAAAAGAGAGTTTATATCAACTTCACTGACTGTAAAGTATTTTCAGCCAAAGGTTTATGTAAATGGTAGTTAGCCATTGAATAAAAATATTTTTCCATCATCTTATTGTAACAAACCAACAGTTAAATATCAGTGAGATGCTCACTAGCGAGTGGGCGTATTCAGGTAGGTAGTTACCTGGGTTCTAGTGGGGAGTCGTGACCAGTAGGGTGCAGCAGGTCAGGCTTGGGGACAAATACTTGCTGAAGATATTGGCTAGTGGTCACGCCATATCATGAATTGATATGAGTTGGAATTCACGCATTGGCCATTGGATCGGGTCCCAGTAGCTTAACGGTCTACGGACTCCCTGGCCTTGTAACCGGAAGATCCTGGGTTCGGACCCCCCATGGTGAATGCGTACTGATGAAGAGTCCCAAGCACTAGGACGTAGGAAACAGCTGTTTGGCAGTACTGCAGTGCTGGTCTTCCAACTGTCCTCAAACCAATATCAGTTCATGATGAAATCCTGTAAATAAAGGTAAGTATAGTGTCTTGATAAGAAAGCTATTAGAGCACAACTGGCGTTTTTATATTTTACAGTAATTAAGGTTATGCTATTAATTACAAAATAATCTACCTGAGTACCCACCGCACATTTACTTTGTTTCGATTTCATTTTTTAGCGTTCTGACTGAAACATGAGGCCTTCAAGTTTTAGCTTTGAAGTGACAGTAGCGAGGGGTGTGGCTTTTTACGGGATTGGGTTTCTATCCTGGCATCTAACTTTCACTCCTTACTAGACTTACAACCAGCTAACCAAGGTTTAGAAGTGCATCAGCTGGGAATCGAACCCGAACCACATGTGCTGTTTTCAACCGTTCGACCAACGGACCGGTGATGTGCACTTATTTTCGGAGATAACGCTAATAACTATCACACACTCAGCGAAAGATTCACTAAGGAGGGGGATGGATTAATTTCTAGGTAAAGTTCATCACGGATTCACACGAAATCTAGAACCGTTAAAAAGCTAAACGTCTACATCTCAAAAGCACCCTCCAGTGCACACGGCTTTTTTCTTCTCTTTCGCGTTCCCAGTGGAACATAGGGCTACAAGATAGTGGCTTGAGGGTTTCCCTAGCAGTGTTTATTTTTTACCTTCCCTCTTTGCCAGCATTATTTCTGGCTTAGCGAGATAAAGGAGTGCGTCGGTGGCCGGGGATCGAACCCCTGACCATGTGCATGGTCGGCGAGTGTCGTAACCACTGTGCTACCGACGCACACGGCTTAAATAATACTAATATTACTTCTTAACTTATTCTACTCAAATGTGACAATTCTTTGAATTACAAAGTAACATATACACGCTTATATGTTAACAAATGTTGAATATATATGTTTCGCGCAAGCAAAACAATGATTTTGAGCAGTGTGAAATAACAGTCTGAATGTGAAAAACATTAGGAATGAGTACTTCATACAAATCAATACAATCAGTTCATTCCATACTTTATGTGGACCAAGAAACCTAACTGCAAAAGAGGATGAGATTAATACACTGTCTACAAAATAACTTGCATGGATTGTGATAAGCAGTACATCTGTCAGAGTAGACCTCCTCTTCAACTCCGAATTCAAGTACATAAACTAGTCATTTAAAAGACACGATATGTAAACTGTCATATCGATGTACGTAAGCAAACATTGACGACAATTTGATTCAGAGGAAATATAGAAATAGCAAAACTTCCAGGAAATTCCTAGAAGCCTGGCATTCAAACTAATCAGCAATGAACAGACTCGTTAGTAGTATAGATGAAATATTTCAACTAATATAGAATGATCCACATAGTGAAAAAAAAACAATCCAATTTCAAGTCAACAAAAACGATCAATACTAATACAAATTAACAACCAATCACAACAAAGGTTTCCAGGAGATACAGCACAATATTTACTTCGTAATAAAGCTTGCACTGAAGATGCTGTCTGGAAGACCAACGAAAGCCTCTTGACTATATCAACCCGTCCCGGTGAATGCAACCGCATCAAAGTCATCCACATGAACTACAAATCTTTTTCATTATTTCAAACGAGGAAAAATTCATGGATATGAATATGAATTAAAGCAGTCAAGGCAGGCCAAAGAACAAACAGTTTCGAAAAAGGCTTTATTCTTACAACTTCACTTCCGCACGGATAACATCACATCAGTGAGAAATTAACACAAAGCCTAAAGAAATACACTGGTAAAAAGAGCATTCAGTGCTGCTGAATTATGCTGCGTCTTTAAAACCACCCCTAATATGCGTTCGAGAGTAAAAGTCAAACTGTCCAACTTGCATCTTCTATGTGTATGTACCTATTCAACTGCTCCTGTGGAGTCAATTAGTTGTATAGGCCGTAAAATTGGGTGTGTTTATCATCGGATTTACGAAAATCATCCGGCGTGGTTAAGTAAAACACAAACAAAATCCATTCTGTCTCATCTCGTGGATACAGAATACAAAAATGATGTTAACGAGGCTGCTTTCAAAGTCATCTACCATATACCAATTAATCTTAACTTTACCTTAAGAGTTCGTCTACTACATATTTCTGAGACTGGCTGCTTGGATCTACATTAAAAAACCTATCCAAAAGAAGTTGGTTGGTTCAAACACTGTCCTTACATTGTCCACCAGTCAAGGTTATAGTGATCCACAATTTAACTAGTTAAAAATGCCCATTAAAATTTTTCAAAAGAATGGATACTGAACAAAGAGTACTCTTTTCGATAACCCCTTCATCATCAGGCTCTACAGTGATACATACACATTATAGTGAATGAATGAATTAGTGTTATGAACAACATTAGTACTGTTTAGATAACATCGAATCAGTAATATTATCGATGGATTACAGCTCAATAGCATCAACATAAAATAAGCTGAATGTCAGAAATGCAAATTAGGAAAGATAATACTATATATTCATGAATTTCTAGTCTCTACTGAAAGCCAGCCGGTCAGGGCAGTAGTAAAGGCTATCTGGACTTGCTTCTTTTGAACACAAAGCGCTGGTTGTTTAAGGCGAATTGCAATAGCCTCTGTTGTTTGGAGCATGCGGTGGTTCGATGATTTTGGCAATTTATTAGGCACCTGGTAGATGATGATGATAGAGAAGGATTCTTCCACGCTGGCTGGCTTTGTGGCCCGTCACTTTGCACCAAATGGTCGAATATCAAACTGTTAATGGTTTTGACTACACCTTTACTAATCCATAGTGGGATATATTCTCGAGCACAAAAAATCAAGTTCCTACAGCAACGGCTCCACAGGCTCAGTTGAATTGGTAGATACAATTTGAAGTGGCTAGCCTGGGTACTTCATCTTTCAGTCGAGGTGGCACCATCGGTCGTGTAGAGAATAAGATATGTAGTTTGCCAGCATTAAAAGTTCTTTGAATGGATTTTCTTAATTTCTTCGTAAATATCTCACTTGGCATACCGCCCTTTTCACAATTTGTTGTGGAAATTCGCCTAATTTTATGTTATATTCTATTTGCAATTACATTTTTATGCGTATTATAATTTGTGTCTTTTCGTGAACTGTAATTCCATTGATCTTCCTTAACTAATCGGTAGTATTTAAAAACACCAAAACTCTTAATGACGATTATTCTAGAATATTCTATGTGAATAAACTTATATATGATTGTAGAGCCAGAAGAGGAAATTACCGGAAAGGGTATTTTTTTGCTCAATTTATTCACTTATTCATTTTTTCCTAAACATCTGAATGAATATTTTCGCTATATTGAAATATCGGCAGCACGCACCCACTGGGATTCGAACCCAGAACCTTCCTGTTACAAGGCAAGCTGGCTCACATACCATTCAGGCACTGGGACCCGATTCAATGGCTCATGAATTCTAACTTCTACCAATTCGTTCCAGTACTCCCTGCTTGTTTTCAATGGTTCTCTAACTGATATCAATCCGCGATCAGCTCGTAAAAACAAAAACTAACTCTTAAAAACCAAACTATAGAAAATTAATCCGATGCTGGCAAGTGACTTGCTAGCTACAGGATGGAGTTTCCTGGAGTTAGTTCTGATGAGAAGTCGTGACCAGTGAGGTCCAATTAGATGTCATGTGTGTGGATGGATGTCCCACCTACGACAATGGTTGTGGTTGCGCTAAATCACGAATTGGTAGAAGTTAGAATTCATGAGACATTGAATCGGGTCCCAGTGGCTAAATGGTATACGAGCTCACTGGCCTTGTAACCGGAAGGTCCTGGGTTCGAGGCCTGGTGGTGGGTGCGTACTTCCGATGATTCCCAAACAAGTGGGATAAAACAGCAGCTGTCCAGTACTCCCTGCTTGTTTTCAATGTTTCTCTAGCTGATTTCAATCCGTGATCAACTCGTAAAAACAAAAACTAACCCTTACAAACCAAACTATAGAAAATATATTGAAATAAATACTGTAAATTAGAAGTTTTTATAACCTACTTAAAATCAGTGATGAATTTATTAGATAGATAACTGGAAAAAAAATATATATCTTGGGGGAAAGCAAAGGATTCAAGTCATTTAAAAAGCTTGATACAAATAAATAAAGCAAATAAAATGGAAAAATATCATTTATATTTTAATGCCTTATCAGATAAATCCATTAGTGTCAAAGATTGACAAAAATGAGAAAAAAACAAGGAGACACATTTACACTAACTTTTTGGAGTATGTTGTTTAACTAGTTAGGTTATCTATGTGTTTAATAGGTAAGTAAATGGAGGGCTTTTAACTTTTAACATGATTCACTACAATAAGTAAATAAATACATACATATATAATACATCAAAATTTATGTTCTATATAATTTCTGTGATTGTACGTATTCGTGCGTTATTATAATTATTGATTAATTTGACAAAATTGATTTCCCTCGAGATTTAAATTATTTACGCTGGCAAAAAATACAATAAGATGAGTTAATCACATACTCATTATTGGACATAAATTA